GGGAAAGGGGAAAGGGGGAAAGGGGGAAAGGGGGGGAAAGGGAGAAAGGAAAGGGGAAAGGAAAGGGGAAAGGGGAAAGAAAGGGGAAAGGATGCGCACAACATTTTCATCGCCACCCAGCGCTAACAACAAAGTGGCGTGAGTGTCGAGTGCCATCGTTCTTACATCTCTTCGCTTCCTTCTCTCACAACACCCCAACTTCCTACTTGGTTCTCATCATTCGCAATGGCAGCAGCTACACCTTCCTCATCCAAGATGCTGCTTTTCTCGGCTGACGACGTAGCCAAGCACAACATCTCCACCGACTGCTGGGTCATCCATCGCGGCAAGGTCTATGATGTTACCGATTTCGTTCAAGACCATCCTGGTGGAGACGACCTTATCATGCAATACGCTGGCAAAGACATGGAGCAAGTCATGGACGATCCCCAGGAACACTCCCACTCTGATTCGGCATACGAGCTTCTCGACGAGCACATCATCGGACGGCTTGCCACTACCCATGCCGAAAGGGCTGCTCTCTCCGAACGTAACGCTAAAGGTGGCTACTCTGGCAAGGACGACTCCATTGTCATCACCCACGATTTCCACCCGGAGGAAACCGATTTCTCTTCCGACTACAAACAGAACAGGTTCCTTGACCTCAACAAGGCGCTCATGCCTCAAATGCTCCGTGCCAACTTCAGCAAAGAGTTTTATCTCGAGCAGGTTCACTCTCCACGCCACTCGAAGAATCCAGCTCGGTTCTTCAACCAGGACTGCCTCGAAGTCTTCACCCGCACTCCATGGTACGTCGTACCTACGCTATGGCTTCCCATTGCATCAGCCATCTTCTTCCGCTCTACAACCCAGTTCGCTTCCAGCCTCTCCAAAACTCCACTCAACGCAGTGACTTGGTACCAAGCCGCCGCTAAGCCAACTCAGTTCGCACCCACCGTTTGGTCCCTTGCTCTCACCCAGACTGCGATCTGCTGGGCAATCGGAGTAGTCATCTGGACTCTACTCGAATACTCGATCCACCGCTTTCTGTTCCACATTGACAACATTCTCCCCGACCAACCCGCCTTCCTCACCCTCCACTTCCTCCTCCACGGCGTACACCACTACCTACCCATGGATCGATTGCGATTGGTCATGCCACCTCTGCTCTTCTTCGTCCTCAGCTACCCATTCACCCAGTTGGCACATGCCTTGTTCCCTAAGGCAGTAGCTAACGGTATCATCTCCGGTAGCTTTTCCATGTACGTTGTGTACGATTGCATGCACTACGCTATGCACCACACCAAATTGCCCCAGTACATGAAAAGTATGAAGCAGTATCATCTCGAACATCACTACAAGAACTTCGAGTTGGGTTTCGGTGTCACAAGCAAGATTTGGGACTACGTCTTTGGAACTCAGCTTTAGATGCCCACCCTCTCTTATTTGGATACGCATCCTTTCCCTTAATACTCTCTACATAACATAGCACATCAATACCAGCTTTCTTCTCTTCTCGATGCGTTTGTGCACTTGCACTTGCACTTGATACCGTGTGTGCAGTGTGCAGTTAAGATAACAAGTTCTCTAGCGTCTGGATAGCAGTAGTCGGACCAACGGCTTTCATCCTCACCCTCGTATTCTGCACCAACGGCGCGGGGAGTAAGCTCAAACAAGTGACCAAATCCTGTGCATGCTTTGCTTCTACTCTGACTACTGCATCCCAACTTTTTCCCTCGCCCTCCCCGTTGGAAGGGTGCGTGGAGAGGATGTCGACGTTGTACGCTCCACCGACAACGCCCATTGTCGCTGTTTGCGCTGTTTGCACCAAGTCTAGCATCAAGGCTGGTAGTATGGATGCAAGTGGAGAGGACGAGGAAAGACGCAGTCCGATGTATCGCCATTCCGAGGGCTTCATTCCTTTACGCGTGTACCGCTCTTGAGGTTCAGGTGTCGAGGTCTGAGTCTTTGCTACACAGAAGGGAAAAAATTCGAAGAGTGGTAATGGTTAGAAATTCCGGCTAGGACCAAGCAAGAAATGTGTTTCCAAAGTGTTTTGATATGATACTAACTGTCTTTCTTGGTACCCTTTGCTTCCGTCTCTCCCGCAGACTCGCCATTCCAAGTAGCAACAACGCTGACTACAGCAGCGCCTTTCGAGCTATTCCCGTTGGACTGCTTTGTATCTCCCTGACCCTTTCCATCTCCTTTGCTGCCGTTTGAAACTCCACTACCAGCGCCCTCCATCGGCTCGGCTGCAGTGACAGACTGCACCTCGTCTTCAGTCTCCGTATCAGCCGCGAACAGCGCCTCCATCGCTGGCGTGTACCCCTGAATCTTGCTAAACTGACTCAACGGATAGGTGACCATGTCGAACGCCAATGCAATCGACACCTTCTTCTTGCCTTCACTCTGCTCGCTCGATGCAAAGAGCGAGGACCTTGCCATCTTGGGATACCTCTGAGAAAAGTGAGTCAACAGGATATTGGTCGCTCCCATCTCGTGTCCCACTCGAATAGCTTCGCCAAAAGTAGAGTGTCCTTTGTAAACTGCCATCTCTTGTTCGCCATCTTCGAGCGTCGCTTCGTGGATCAACAGCTTGCAATCTCGTCCAGCGGCGATGAGTTCTGCAGCCGGACGAGTATCACCAGAGTAGGCCACTGACCAGTCTTGATTCGTGTGGCGAATGACGAGACCGTAGCAGTGCGAGCCGCGGTGAACCACACGTGCTGTGTGGACGTGCGAGAGTCCGGTGAGGGCTTTGATGCCCTCGACCTGAGTCAAATGCTCGCGCCTGACCTTTGGCTCTCGACTGCTGTTGCCCTCTGCGGCTGCTGTACAAGGATCAAGATTGGCTGAACCGTTAGCGCGAGTCAAGGGGTCAACTCCGCTCTTGTAGTCCAGGTGCTCGCTGAGCACCAGAATGACATCTTCGCCCAAGCCGAGCTTCTCGATGTGCTCATATTCCTCCAGGTAGTTGTGCACAAACCCGGTACCCACCAAGTAGAGAGGCTTGTCGGGTTGAGGCTGAAGCTTCCGTCGCTCCAGCAGCAGACGGATGAGGCCAATGTGGTGGTCAGCGTGAATGTGACTGATGAAGAGTATTCGCATTTCGCGCAGGATGTCGTCGACGTCCTGTCCGACCAGCGATCCACTCTCAGCAGCTGTGCCATCACGTCGACATCCAAACTTGCGACGAAGAAGACCGTAGGTGGATTCACCAGCATCAAGCAAGATATTACCCGAAGATGGAGTGTGGATGAGCGTCGAGATGACGTTACGATACTTGCTTGGGGCTGCTGAGCCAGTGCCGAGCGTGGTGACTAGGATGTCCTTTTCAGGGGGCATCGCGTTGGAAGCAGTCTGGCTTTGAGCCTTGATCTTCTTGACGACATCGAGGTAGTCTTCCCAGGCCTTCTTTCGCGCTTCCTTGAGCCGCAAGTTTCGGACAGCTCCCAGATCGTCTGTTGATGCGTCTCGATTGGCTTGCGCCTTCTGCTTTTTTGCATTCGAGGCAGCATCATTCTTGGCTTTTGCTTTGACAAGCTGCTGAGTCTGCTGCTCGGTCTCTTCCACAGCCTCGACTTCGAAAGCTGCAACCTTGTTCGCTTCCTCGGACTGGATGGGAAAGTCAAAGTCGGGCGCACCCGAGTGGTAGCGCTTCGGTCCCCCGCGAGGGTGCAAAAGAATGACCTGGTCTGCTTCAGCGGCTACCAACTTGAGTGGGAAGTCGGACTCGCCAGCTGTCAACTGTTCGACGCAAACACGAGGCTTGAGCTGATACTGCGGCACCTTGAACATCACCTCGTCGAGCTTGGAGAGCCGGAGTGGAATCGTGGCACTAGAAGGGAACATGAGCTTGTTCGCGCAGACATCGTAGTTGGCGATGATGTGATGACAGTCAGGTCCGAATCGACGCATCCACTGTTGATAACGAGTGTCTTTCAGCACGTCGAGCGGGATAGCATGGACGATGGCATGCGGTGTTCTAGATTGCTCCCTGCTGAGACCTTTGTTGGCATCCTGGGTGTATGGTGAGAAGGATTGGGCAGCATTGTCACTAAGCAGATCATCGATGTAGGCGGCGGACGGCAAGTAGACGTGGAAGACGACAGCTCCAGCGCGTGAGGGTCCCAACACTTCGCTCGACCTGACTAGAACTTCTTCGAGCTCGTTCCATGCAGCAGGTGGTGGTTCCTGAACTTCGTTGCTCTTGCTCTTGCCCCTGCCGTTTTGCTTGCTGTTTGGTTTCGGCTTGCTGCCCACACCTCCTCTTTGACTTTGGATCCACCTCTTCTTCTCATCATCCTGCATGCTGGCCCATGTCGTTGGGCGCTTGAGCGTGATATTCTCCCCCTTGGTCAAAGCTGCAAAAGATGGACCTGGAGGGACACCGGCTTCGGTGGCCTTGACAGGGTCGAACTTGCCTCTTTGCGCGTGTGCTTCGCAGATGAAAGCGAGGACAGGTGTTTGACCACCTTCGGCTGGATCACTACGGTCGGCTGCAAGATAGCGGGTGTCGCATTGCGGTCGTGGTAGTAGACGTGTGACAAAGGCGGGCGAGAGTGGTGGCCGCCAGGGCGAGCGGGCTCTCGCGCGAGGTGATGCTGGAGCCTGCTGCGCTTCGAGGTCGTCCATCTCGACATGCTCCACTGAAAAGACGAGCTTTGTCGATGTTGAAACTTGTGTCGATGCATCATTGTTTGTAATGTCAGATTGTTGCTGTTGTTGCTCCTGCTGGCGTCTGCGAAGTAGCGAGTCATTGAAGATGCAATCGGATACGATACGAATCCAGGCTTCTGCTTGTTCGCCATGGAGATCAGATGGGTTGAAGTAAGGCTTGCGCCAGAGCTGGTCGACCTTCTCTATCGTTGCTGCTGAAGGGCCTGAGGAGTGCTCGCGGTCGAGCTTGGGCTTCTTGGAAGCACGTTCTGCAGCATCGGCTGGGAGCAAAGGCACGGCATATACAGCTAAATTGTCATCACTGAAGACTGGTGCAGAGCAAGATGGCTTGCCAGCATGCTTGCTAGCAGAGCTCGATGAGCTTGAGATAGCAGGGATCTCGTTGACCTCGAGCTTCATGATGTCCCGCTTGGCGTATGTTCGCATGGTAGCGAGAGCATAGCGAAGACCATCGGGGCCGTGAAGCGATTCGCTAGCACGCTGACCATCAGCCATGGACATGAGAACGCCTGGGAGACCACCGATAGCTTCCCATCCTACACGCGAGACAAAGATGTTGGATATGCGACTGAGGTTGGCTTTGCGTTGGGTCGAAGAGCGCGAAGTGCCCTCACCTACGTTGAAGAGGTAGCGATCCGCACCGAACTGAAGGATGACTGGCGGCAACACATTGGTGTCCGAGGAAGGAACATGCAGCACACGAAGGTCGCCTAGCATGGTTCGGGCCGGTGCTAGAGCTGAAGTCGATGTGTGTAGAGCGCGAGCAGGGTTGGGGAGGGCAGCAGATGGAGTGCAAAGAGTAGCAAGGATGGGTAAGCGTGACCAGCACATACACTTTGTCTAGCGAGCCTCTATGATGCTGATGGCCGCGCAATCAGGCTATCGTCTGGAAGCGAGGCGATGTAAGCAGAGTGGCCGCGTGTCTATGAGAATGCTGGCAAGCGTCGATAGAACAGCATGTCCAAGCTCGAGGATGGGAAGCGGCTTAGTCGAAGAACAAGATTGAGTTGCTTTTGCATTAGTCAGCGGGTGGGGGGAAAAGAAAGATTGGAAAGGTCGATGTTGAAGCGACACCTGCCGAAATGAGAAGACGATGGTGGCAAGATGAGAGCAGTGAGGAGCAAACCAAGTCGATTGAGTGGCTTGCGACATGTCTTGGTCCAGCTCAGATGCGCACGCCAAGTCACGTGCAGCAATCCAGTTGAGCTGACTTTGGAAGAAAGTGCGAAAATCGGGAATCGGGAATCGGGAATCGGGAATCGGGAACTGGAAATCGGAAATCGGAAATCGGAAATCGGTGATTGCGAATGTGGAGGTTTCGTTGCATGACTGCTCGAGCGCCTCAACACAGGGTCCTGACAGGCCAATGTCGTGTGTGTGTAGAGCATGAGAAGAAAGGGGTCCACATCAGCACAACCTTCGCTGAGTCGTTTCGCGTCGTTTCTATCAGACTCGTTCGTGAGCAACACAGTATCATCGCCGTCACATGGCTACTCACATGGCTACTCACATGGCTACTAAGCGAGTCTCGCGTCGCACAGACCTTGATGGAGCATCCGTTCTAGCTTCTTGCCTTTCATTTGGCTGCATTGTCCCACCTTTTTTGTGCTTCAAAGGGGAGGTCAGTGCGGCCGGCCTTCTTAAAGCGGTGAATTTGAGACAGTGGACTAGAAGCTATTGTCATGCCCAATGGCTGAGCAGCGCTGTCTGCACCCTCATCAACGCTTCTTTCATCCTTCATCTCTCGGCTCTGTCTTCTAGCTTGACATTGCCCAAACGTCGATCTTGCTCAGCTCAAACTACATGTCTAACAACCATGCTTGCAAATGTCACCAATGACACTATGGATTGCCATGAGCACCTCAAAAACAAGGCCATCACCAGATGTGACCAGCGTCTAGATCCTTCCATCATCATCAAAGACGAAGTCGATCATCGCTTCTGTGCCGACAGCGTCTTTTCCAGGGTCTTGCAACGTCGTATATTCCTTAAAAACTCGACCATGTCCTTACGTGATTTACAGAGTCTCCGCCGGTCCAGCAGGAGAACAACAGATAGCGACAACTTCGAGTCGTATCAGGAGCTGTACCAGGAGATCATAGATACCTTTGGCCTTCTCGACTATCAGATCATGCCCTTGACCTGCGACCCACTTGCGCAATTCAAAACCGTCAACGCTGCAGGCAAGGAAAAGCTTCCGCGACCCCCGCTTCAGAAGCTGATTCGTGAGTTCTCGCTTCTCGGTTCCTCGTTCATTTCTTCTCCACTAGCAGCTCATGCGCCTCCTTGGTCTCTTGCTTCCTAAACAGCCGCTCTTCGTTCTGACATCAGCACTTTGTCCGAGACGCTCCGTCGATACATGTGCACCTACTTGCATCCACACAACGTCCTCCAACAGTCGAAAGAATCGCTCAAACAGCGTTTCAGAGTCATCAGAGCTATCCAGAACCTCTATGCAGAGCATTCCATCATGCTCGCTCCGCAAGATGATGCCTTCTTCTTCAGAGATTGCAAAGTCTGTGCAATCTACGATCCCGAGATCATTCGCTTCTGCCGCGATCTCCACTGCATCCTCCTCAAGATCTTCCACGCACAGCGTGTCAAGCCTCCCTCCTGTCGCTTTTTCACTCCTATGCCAGAGATGTCGGATGGCGAGGTGTCAGATGATTGAATACGACGAATTCAAGTTGCAGACGCAAGTCACTCGAAGGCTTACTCTACCCGCAAGACCTTGGTCAAATCTCAGAGCAGCATGTATTGATCCACTTTACGGGCCATATGTGGGCAATGCGAGTCGTCCCACACTACACTTTCTCCGACCGTGCAACCGGTTGTGTACTCTCTTTGTCGGTAGCTTCCGCACTTTGCACCACAGCACTTTCGTACCTTCATGTCTCGGCGTCTAAATGCACCAACTCAAGTTTGCAACTGCACCATACCAACTTGGCATTTCATAACTCCATTTGCAGTGCTGAGTTAATCTGTTGCCTGTGCTTTGTGACCACCATCATCGTGCCTCGTGCCAAGTCCAAGATGCTCTCTCTGGAGACTACTATAACCCCAGAAATGGCCAAAGGCTGGATAAGAGAAGTCAACAGGAACCTGCTTCGGGCCATCAAGGATGAAGCGCTAGGCCAAGAGCAGCACTACAACATGAGTGAAGGTAACCAAGACCCCTCAATGCAGCTCCCCAATGACCTTGCCAACCTGCAGGCGCTGGCTTGAGCTTTGTTTTGATGGCAAGAAATGCAAAATGAAATGTTACAATGACGAGATTGATCTGGTGCAGTTGCAAACTTGAGTTGGTGTAGCCATGCATATGCTACATAAAGCTACGAAAGTGCTGTAGTGCATAGTGCGAAAGCTACCGACAAAGAGAGTAACGACGTCCCACCGACCTTAGTCTCTTCTCAAGCCCATCTCGAGCATCGACTCCTTTGTTGCTGTTTGATTCTCATTTCCTCGCGTTCGTATTCGAACCGAGCTGGGATTCCCAAAGCCGATGCTGCTATCTCCTATGTTTGGCCCAGCGGAGGGCTATACGTACAACTAGACGCCCTTCGGTGGCACTGATTTGCTTCTTCATCTCCTACTTTTCCTAGAAGCTTCCACACAAACAACCTGCTATCTCGCAGCTTCGAGTCGCATTCTGCAAACACTTCCACCATGAAAGAATGTTTTAGCCGATCTCATGCCCTCCTTGGCTTGCTCGCACTCACTCTGCTCGCTTCACTCTTCCGCGGCGCTAGTGCGTACGAGGATCCCGAGGAGGCCATCAATCGCCGTCACCAGGCCGAATTGCGTACCTTCCGAGAAAAATATACAAGAACCTTTGTGTACGACCTCGCGAAGCACCCTCGTCCCATATGGGCCGACATCATACGCGAGTATCCAAAAGGAATCACCGACAGGGCCAACCACTTGCTCCAGTATGGCTACCACCAAAAACGCCCAAGTAGGTCCAGATTTCTGTTCTGTCTTCTCACAAAGATGAAACTGACATGCCTGTTTATATATGTTTCTTTTCTCATCGCGGCCATGTGGTGCTATTCATCAAGTCACTGAGGCGGAGGACGTTGTCAATAAACTGAAAGCTATAGATACTCGTGCTGAGACACTGGTAGTCGGTCCCTTTCATCCCAAACTTGTTGAAATCCAATTGGATACAATACGAAAGAAGCATCTTGACACCTTCAGTGGCCTGGCCAAATGGATCTCGGACAACTTTGACGAGCTCGTTCGTATGGAAGACCGGCGAGAGACGGCTTCTCGGCTTCAACGATATCAGAACATACGCGATCTTGCTGCGCTTGCAATCGATATACCTCACCGCTGAGATGTGCTCTTAGGCATCATCACTGCAAGTTAGCTCCTTCCGCCCTTCGGCTGATCACATTTCACACTATCACGCTCTGAGCATAGTTGATGGTCAATTGACTCGACTAAAACATGGTTGATGACACAGAAGGAGTGCGACCCTGATGAGGCGTTGCCAATGGCTGATCAGCAGAGATCTCGCAGGTCACTTCCTGCACCCATGCCATAGTAGTAGCTGTTGGCGCGAGCCTGCTTGGACAAAGATCGCTTGCCCTGAGCAGCTTCGTGAGGCATCATCGATGCGCAAGAGGTGCGATTCTGGTAGCGGCCAAGTGAATCGTCGCGACGAGGCCCACCCCATCTACGAACGGAGATGTCGGAATCGCTCGAGGTCCAGGGCGAATGTGGGACATTGACATCGTCCACGGTAGCGTACCTGTCAGCATCTGCTGCAGCGAACTGGCTCCTTGCCATACCAAGTGAGACGGATCGCTGCTTCATGTTGGTTCGTCTGACGGCCAACTTCTCAGCAATCGCAGCTTCAGCTTCGGCACTGACAGCATGCTGTTCGGCATCCTTGATCGAAACAGCCGAAGAGCTGACTTCTTGTGGCTCAGCATCGTCTGCTTCCGCCGCAGCAGCGTCCCGAGCTTGTTGTCGCTCGACTTTTCTGTGTTCTCTCTTTGCTTCCTTCTTGGCTTCCTTCTTTGCCTCCTTCTTCATCTGCTTCTTCATCTGCTTCTTCAGAAGAACCTCCGCTTCCTCCTTTCTCCTAGCATCATCAGCTTGGCTCAGCATCTCGATAGCCACGTCGAAATCCTCAGAAACAGCATCGACGGTGCTCGCGCCACAGCTGGCAGAAAGCAGAGGAGCTTGGAACTGGTAGTCCGATGCAGCGGTCAGCTCAGAGTAGATACTTGGCTCCGATCGCATGCTCTCCGCTCTGCTCAGTAGCGCACTAACCTGCTCTGATCCAGTCAAAGTAGTGTGGGTGGTGCGAATTCGCTGACCGCCACGAGAACTGATGGAGAGCAGCTTGCGTCGCCTCCAAGCATCTCTAACAGCAGCGTCTGCTTCCGCTTTTGCCGTAGATATGGCTTCGGCGTCGTTCTTTGTTGATGGCTTCTTGCTGTTTGCTCTCTTGGTAGACTGAGCAGCAAATTCTTTGTCAAAGACGGATGAGACGATCGAGAGATCAGCCGGACTCTGCCAGGCAGACTGTAAAGCCTTTTGACTCGACTTCCTGACGAGTGCAGCGTTGACAGATCGCAACGCCTCACGCTTTTGACGGCTTGCATCCTTGACAGCGGCGCAAGGGCTAGCAGCTACAGTCGAGCGGAGGTTCTGCTTGGAGCTAGAAGACCTCTGTTTGGCTTTGGTGGGGCGCGCCTCCGGTATCAACGACTCATACGAATCGTAATTTCTCAGATGTAGCTTCCTTGCCTCGACATCGGAAACGAATGGATCGGTGGCATCGCTATCGACTGTACTTCCCTCCTCCAGTACCTTGATTCCGTGCGTAGTCAAGACCTTGTTCGGCTCAAGCCAGCTCTTGAGGTCGGTGGTGGCAAAGAATTGAGGTCGAATGCTGGGAGCTCGACTGACGTTCACAGCAGCATCGTCTTCTTCATTGAACGCCTTCTGCTTGGTTTCGGCAGCATCATTGTCGACTGCTGAAATATACTTGCGCGCCTTACGAAGAAGTCGGCGTTGCTGTCGGTCATGCTCCGCCAGATTCTCATCGACATGCTGCAGGAGAAGTCCTGCGTTACCCGAAGTGTTGCCTTCTGTACGGGCAGTACCTTGAGCGCTGGAGCTGGTCGTAGCTGAGTCTGCCAAAGTCGTCGATGTGTAGTCGCTGCGAAGACTTCCGTTCTTGGCGAGCTTGCGGTCAGGTCGAGGAGACAGTTCCGTGTAAGGATCAGCAATCTCGCCCGCCTCTGTGATCTGGCCCAGCCAGCACCCGACGCTCCCGAGAAGCCGACTTGGACGGTCGCCGTCAAGAGCAGGCACGGGCAGCGCAGAAGCACGACTAGGCTCAATCACCTTGGGCATCTGCACGTTCGCCATTGACGATCGCGCACTCACCTGCGGCTCAGAGCCCTTTCTAGACCAAGCAGCTCCGACACCAGCGAGGCCTGGAGTGAACTCCACTGGAGCTTTGCTGTCGGCGTTGATCAGGGTCATAGGAATCATAGGCGAGGGCATCAAGACCTGCTGGACGCGAGGGAAGCGCAACGAGTCGTCCAACTGCCCAGGGTATACCGGCAAGGTGTTCAATGGCGAGTTGGACTCTTCTTCAGTAGTACAGTCTACAGCCATGCGCTCTTCGGTTCTTCGAAGTCGACGAGCGATCGGCAACTCTCGATCCTTCCCACCGATTGTGCCTTCGAAGTCGCTATCGAGGTAAGGCTGCATATCACGGTATCGCCTGCGTGTTGCTCTCTGCCTTGACGCGGTGGTAGCAGCATTCCGGAGCGTGAGAGGGAGCATGTTCATCACGGCTCGATTGGCCACACCTCCCAAGCTGGCCATGCGGGAGGCAGGCTGCACTGGCTTGGCTTGGAAAGGATAAGGAAGAGGTGCAGTGGTTGGCAGCTCCAAGGCTTGATGATGCCTCTGCGCCAGACGTTCGATGAAGCTAGGCTGTCGTTCCATCGAGGAAGGCCATGTGAAGCCGCCAACGTCTTGGTTTGCAAGCTCTTGCCTGGCTGCACTGTAGTTGCCACCCCTTGTGTTGCCGGCTAGCGAAGCTGTCACCGCAGGCTCCGGTTGCTGAATACCGGTGACGGGAGGATCGAACAAAGTGCACCCCTTGCCGTCCCATGTGCTCTTTGGTGCTTCTGGGACCTTGGCATCATCTCCGTACGAAAGCGTGGGAACAGCACCGTCAAGCTGTGTGCCTTTAGCCTTGCCATCAAAGAAGGCATCGATCTTGGCATCCTTACGCTCGAGATCATCATCACCTCTGAACGAGACGCTGTCAAGAGACCTGCGACCTACACTCTTCTCGTTGTCACTCTTACTGTCAATGGCGGATGCAAGGGCAGAGGGGCTCCACGTCGAACGATCAAGACGACGCTTTCGCCTAGCTCTGCGTTGACCTGCACAGCAAGCGAGACGCAAGATCCAGGCCAAGCCGACTGAGAGTGTTGCGGTCACTACTACGGCACCGATCACAATGCAGAGGATAAGTGGAGTGTTGTGATGGATGCTTGCTATAGGATTCGTGACTCTAGCTGCAGTTGGAGAAGAGGTAGATGAGGTGGAAGGGATGAGTGGTGGGATGGAGTGGAAGGTGTCGGCCCTAGCGTACATATGCTGTAGTAAAGGGTGATCTTGATCGACAACGGCCCAAGCAATATCGGCTGGCGGCATGGCGGGTTGGGAGTAGAGTAGCGTCGATCTCTCCGGCTGATCTCTTGGTCGATTGGAAAAGTCGTGGTCAACTTTTCTTTGCTTGCCCTTCGACTTTCGACTTTCTTCTCTTTGACGCTGTGTTTCGATAGCCCGCCTAGCCGGATCTTTCGATGAGCCTTTCTTCGGCTTCTTTGCCTTGACGCGAGGAAAACTGTCGATCCGCCGTCAAGCGATGAAATGATGCTTATTAAGTAACAGCGACGTTCCAGAAGTCGTACTGTTGTCTAGACTTGCGACGATTGAAAAGATGGGTGTGGTAAATGCAAGGACGCTGTCCTCGCTCGGGCCCGTGGGCGTGAAGTAAAGTAAGGAAGAGGTGTCAAAGAAGAAGAAAACGGAATGCTGATGAAAGGCGCCGGGCCTTGGATGAAGTAAGGAGACAAGTAAGAGGCAAGTAAGAGGCAAGTGGTAAACCGAGGTGCAAGTTATCTTCAGGGACGACGACGACCAGCTGAGGAACGAGACCCAACAGCTCACCGAAGTTCAGGCAGAGAAGAGCTAGTCTCACCGCCGGACAAGCTTAGCAGGATAGACGAAGGCCTGCACACCGCTCGAGAAGATGACCTCTCCATGGCAGGGGGGCGGCCAAGGATACTGGAGAGCAAGAGAGGAACGGATGGATGAGACATATCACTTTATGACAGTTCTTTCTGAGATAGGCTAATCCTAAGCTTAGTACAAACCGCTTCTACGACCTGTCAAACAGCGCCAAATCCTGGTGGAAATTCAGGCTCAGAAAAGAAGGGTTCAGTATAATGGAGTTGTTAAGACCGAAAGATCTCACACCGAGGCCTTTTCCATCAGTAGCAGTTGGGCATTGGCATGTTTTTAAGAGAAATGTAACATAAATTGCTGACTAATGATGAGTGCCCTTCCTCGGGCCGCCGGTTGGTGACCTCATGCTTAGTAATCGCTCCGACGCGTCACGTGGATAAAATTTTCTCATTTAATTGCCCAGTCCGAAAACCGAGTTGGTAGTTGAAAAAGTTGTTGCTTCCGAACCACCACCATCTCCACCTCCCCGACGTACTCGCTTACCAGTTCGTCGTTGGTCGTAGGTAAGTAAGCGAAATCTCTCTAATGAGTGCGACTCCACTTGCCAAGCTTCTCAAACAGCACCACTAGCCCACCGGGGATACTCCTCTCCCAGCTCATCGACATTGCAGCAGACTCGGCAGTGTCTCGTGGAGCTGGCTTTCAAGGCCAAGATGGCGGACCTGCCCACTTATCTGGTGCTGGGCTTCATCATTGTGCCACCGATTCTTCGGCAAGCCAAGCGCCTAGCCTCGTCTGTCCGAACGCCTCGTCCAATCGACCCTTCGCAGCCCCCACCGCCAAAGTTACTGTCTCGACAAAGGCTCACGCCATTCAGCACACCCTTCACCGCTGCAGTATCAATAGCATCAATCCTACTCGTCCTCATCAGCCTGCGTAACCTCGTGCCTGTGCAGTATGGATTCGACATCTTTATCCCATCATCAGTCATTGACAAGCTGCGCAAGTCCATCTACACGCTCTATACAGCACCGAGCGTCTTCCAGCCCGAAGACGGGATCGACAATGTACCGCTACACATTGAAGCCTTCCGAGGTGGATCCAAGCCGGATCTCTTCCTTGCATACAAAGCTCCCATCACCATACCCACCACAACGCTGCGAGATTTGATCAACGCGACACCTTCACTGCTGCCCATCGGCTACTTGACTCCGGTTAAGCAAGCTGAGCTGCAAGCGCTCATAGCTAGGCTCTCGAGCTACGAGGGTCGACGCACTTATCTCCTTCTTGGACCGGCACCACTGCTGGACTGCACTTTCTGCAAAAACGCCAGCGACCACTTTTGGTATGCTCTTCCGTTCTTGTTCGGAGCATACGCTTGGCGAATCTTAGCTCTCGGGCTACTCACAACGCATCCGCACGACTCGGTGGCCGTAGCGATTCGGCAGCTCGGAGCACTTTTTGGCTTCTCATCACCCCCACCTCCACAGACTCAAGCTCCGCAAGCAAATGCAAAGGAGCATGAAGCCGATCGCAGCGGATGGCGCACTCCCTCAGTCACAGTTCTGCTCGGGCTGCTCGTTGTCGAAATGCTCATCATGTTTGAGTTCGGCCAAGTGACAGCTGGCTCGTCTCGACTCAATCATTGGCATACCAATCTGCATATCATTCGTCAACTTGTATTTCTGGCTTTGGTTCTCACGGTCTATCTTCAGCCAGCGCCCAAAGTGGTGGGTAGCTTCGAACAAAGCATGCTTCATCTTGCAGCCGCTCAACAAAGCTTGCAGAACCTCATACACGTATCAGAGCTGGATGACATCACGCGGACTGTGGTTCTTCAAGATGATCAGCTCCTCCAGATGTCGAGGCAGTGGAGGAGTAGCAGCGACAGCAGAGCAGGGCCAAATATGGGTCCAAAGAAGGCGAGCAGCATTATCCAAGCTGTAGCACAACAGGAAGGGCAGACAGCGACTGCTGGCATCGCACAAGCACGCGAGGGGATTCAGAGAGCGACAAGATTCTGGTGGCAGAACGCCGAGGCTGTCAATCAACAAGCTGACGACAGAGAACGTCACTTCGATCAAGCAACGACAGCGAGGAGTGGCAAATCACCAGCACCGTCGACAGCAATTGAATCCGCATCTGCTCGCTCACCGTCGAGCAACACAGCGAACAAAGTCGAATGATCGTCCAACATTCCCTGCTGCCAGCGACCAAGTTTGGCATCGCACCAGCACGTATTTTGCACGTTCTCATCAACTTTACATTAGCTATTACACCCTGATCAATGTCCAACTGTATTTATATTTGCCACCGAGGTCTGTACGCTTTGTGTCACCATCCTATCGACGCAAGACTCGACGAGAGAAAGGAAAATGAAAGGCATTCCGCGTCGATGCGAAGTGTCCGCTCTCGTCACCCGCACAATGCTCTCTCACCAACTTTTGTCGCTAAACGTTATCTCCTTTCTCACACAAAGCTTCAGCATCGACTCACTCTCTTCCGGCTGAGCAAGGACAAAGCATTGCATCACTCAACTTCTCATCCAGCACATTGTGTCACACATCCTTTCTCCTCGCTTGCTCGTGACAATGGATTTGGTGTGACTTTTCTATAAGAACTCAACTTCGTCACTTCCCGCTTTTACTCCTCCTCTTTCTTTCCTTCTCTCGCACCACATCGGATCTCGATTGCGACTTAACTCCCAATCGCAACATTGGTTTAGCCACGACTTAGCCAAGACTTTGCCCCTCTTCTGGTTTCGTAAGTTACACTCCAAACTCATCATCCTCTACTTCCGAATGATCATGCCAATGCTGACACAATACTGACAATCGTCGCTCCATCACTTTTCATTATGATTCACAACCGTGCCAATGCAGACAGCCTTCGCATGAAGCAGATGACGCGATGGATGCGATTCAGTCAACAGCATGCCACCCTCCTCATGACCGGCCAAGGGCAGCCGATTACGGCGCCGTCATCCGACACCTTACATTTCTGTGTCAACAAGTCGAAGCTCTCGCGACTCCTCTGTCCGCGCCGGGCCTACCACCCCATCACTCGGCACTACCCTCGGCACTTGAAGCTCAAGGTCATCGTGCGTCTACGCCCAGTGCAGCTCGAGGAGGCCGAGGCGGAGGAGGAGGACGACCAGCTTCTGTGACAGGCGTTCAAGCAGCTTTCGGTGGTGGCGGACGAGCAAAGCGAGATCTCAGACAAACTGGCAAAGATGTCATCCGAATTCCAAAGTTGGTGCTTGTCGGAGGCCAGAGCACAGGTAAAAGCTCTCTAGTTGAGTGTCTCGCCGGGGTCACTCTTCCACGATCGCAAGGAACCTGTACTCGCGGCCCGCTCGACATTACCATCACCGGAACCACACCTGCCGAGGAAGGCGAAGGGTGGTCAGCACTCGTCTCCATCGTCCTACCCACGTCCAAGAACGACCTTCCCCCTGCTTGTGAGTCCTGCCCTGGCGGCATCATCAGATTCGGCGAGCCTATCAACGACCCTGCTCTTGTCGCAGATCGACTCAGACGGGCCACACTCGCCGTTCGGGATCTGCGCAACCTACCCACTTCCTTCATGTCTTCTCCCAAGCCTACCGACAAGTATCTCATTCCTGCCTCGCCTTATCAGCACATGTCGCTGGCTCAGCTCGAAGACGCTGAAGACGACCCGGACTCACCTCTGCCGACGTTCTTCCCCGTTGGAGCACGTCTCAGTCTTTCCATCCGTGCACCAGGCGCCGAGCCTTTGTGCTTCACCGATCTGCCTGGTCTCATCTCGGAAGGCAGCGCTTTTGAGATCAATGCAATCCGCAACATGATCTTGCGCGACATCTCTGAGTCCAACACGGTCATTGTTCTTACGGCTTCTCTTGCCATGGACATCCGTCACCAGAACGCCTTCTCCCTCGTCAAGAGCATTGATCCGAATGGAGAACGCACTGTTGGTGTCTTGACCATGCCCGATCGCATGCCCTCGGGTGCTGAACGTCAATGGGCAAAGATGATCAACGAGTCATCTCCCGGCGGAATGAACAGCAACAACAACAGCACCGTAAGTTCAGGCTCGAACAGCAAGCACTTCCTTAAGCACGGCTGGCATGTTGTTCGCTGCCCTGCCCAGCACGAAGACCGTTGCAACATTCGCGAGATCGAGGACAACTTGTTCTTCGCAAGCGATCCTGCTCCTGGACCTTGGCTTGAGACCACAAAAATGCTCGACGTTACCGGCGAGAACGGCAACGAGGACTTTGTGCAGATGCGATGCGGCTTGGACAACCTCTACCAGCATCTTAGCCATCTCTTGCTCCAGCAGATCTACACCGCTCTGCCCAATACCATTGCATCCATCATCGCCCTCAAGGACGAGCTCATCGCCGAACACGCCAACGCCACTGCTTCCGACAACGTCGACAATGGTTCAGCCAATAGTCGTTTTGCCAGCTCCTTTCATCGATCTCGAGTCCCTTTCCCCGGCGGCAGAGACTTCTCGCCTCTGCCCGGAAGAGCAGCCAACGGACACCGCTTCGGTCAAGGCATGTCGCACACTGGAGGCGTGGAAGGGTTCGACACGATCATGGAGCTGGTCAAAACGCTGGAAGCCATCACCAAGCATCTTTACTTTTCCAAAATGGCTGTCATCCAGGAGTTAGTGCCTTACCTTGCGCGAGAGCTGAAGCTCATTGCTCCCGTCTACCTCCCCTTTACCGCACGCGAGATTGGGGACAGGAGCCTCGTCAACATGTACAAGCCGACAGTGTGGTCATTCGAACGTGAACTTGCCGCTGAGGTCTCGAACAAGCCTAGCTTCCGCTACGTTGATGTCGAAGAGCCTCACCAGCTCGAGGAAGATGCGAGTGGATATCTGGACGACGTCGAAATGGTATTCGCCTTCGATGTCCACAAGGCCGATTATGGCATGAGACCGAGCGGTCAAATGCCCAAAACTCCAACACCAGCAGTTGGAAAGCCGCAGCAACTCCGAAAAAAGCCAATCACGGTGGACGACCTGATTGAAGCGCTCTATGGCGATTCCACATGCAACTTCTTCATCGAGTTTGCCAATCAGCTTCAGCGCAACCACGGTACGTTGCAAGAGAAGTTTCAAGCCTTCGTGCAGAAGTACACTGGTCTCTGCAGGGCTCGTCTTGCTCACCTGGTGAAGAACGCGATCCCTAAGAACATGCGAGTCAAATATCCGCAGCTGTGCATCGACATTCTCGCCATCACCGACAATTATGTTCAAAGCGAGTTGACTAGCGAGATGCAGAGGTTGTCGGCTAGAGTGGCTGTTCACCCACCCGATGGACATGGTGGTACCAACCGCGTTGACAGTGCCACGGAGCACGGCGAAGGGGCTGATTTCACACCACGCACCGAATACGGAACATGGATGGACCACGAGGTTGCCCTCTTTATGAAGATTCGCATGAGCCTGTTGACCAAAACTAGGTTCGATATGGGTGACAAGAAGTTTGTTCCTGAAGCTAGTAGAATGGTTGACTCTGCGATCAAGATTGGTCTGGTCCCTGACAAAGCCTTGGACAAAGGATCAGCTGGCTCCAGCAGCGGCGGAAGACAGACCTGTGGGGGTGGTGGTAGCAAACTTGGAGGATCTACAGCCGAGCCTGATGCCGATGCTCGGGATACATTTGCAGAGGTTCATCGCACTCCAAAGAGAAAAAGCAAAGCTCAATTGGCGGCGGAAGCAAAAGAAGCATGCGAGCACAATCCTCGCTCCCCCGAAGTAGGCAGCTGCGAATACGATGACGAACACATTCTCTCGTCCACTCCTACTCCTACTGCCGCCGCAGCAGCTCGCAAACGGACACCAAAATCCGCCTCCAATGCACCTGCTCAGCCTTCAGAAAACGTCAATAATAAGCTCGCTCTGCTCTCGCCTTTTCTTGCGGTCATCAACCCTTCGGTTTACGCTGCTTTGCAGTTGATGGCTGAGCTTCGAGCCGATTTCAACTTCTTCGCCCTCCTTGTGGCACGAGAAGCCCAACGAATCCCTGTTAGCTTGGTGCAAGATGTTCGAGCTTACCTTCGCAACTCTCTCCCTGGTACAATTCGAGCCGATCTTGGCGAGGAGGAGCTCTACAAACGATACTTCTATGAAGCAGACAAGCCTAGACGCGAAAGGGTCGAGTGGATTGGAGAGCTGCGAAGTAGAGCGACAAAAATCAGTGAGGTGGTGGAGAAGCTCGAGGTGGTAAGGGAACAGTTGGAGATGGAACGAGCAGCCAATGGCAGGGGTGCGAAGTGGTGGAGGAAGAGCAAGAACGGGGGTAGCAAAGTTGGTGCTAAATATCACCAGCAGCAGCAAGTTCAGACGGAGAAACAGGGTGAGACGAGCATGCCTAATGCTACTACGGCTCCTGTCACCCCTCCGCGGAAGACCAAGAAGAGCGCCACTACAACACCCACCGGCATCACCCTTCCTCACGCCGAAATTTCGATCAAACCAAGCGAGAGTCAGAGTACCACGGTCACTCCGACTGCAAAGAAAACCTCTCCACTCACGCCATGCCAGTCGAGATCCATGTTCAGCACTCCTGACAGCACACCTACCAAGCCGCCACGCTCTCAAAGCCAGCTGAGAACGAGCGTGACGCAGTCTAAACGACCCCCACCAAGCGAAGCTGATACTCCAACTCGAGCCGCTCCCCGTCGGACAGCAAGCTCAGCTGCAGGTGGATGGCAAGCGGTAAGGGATGCGCAACTACACAACGAACCATGTAGAGTCGTCAACTCTTCGTTCACTTTTGCTCGTTCAAATTTTGCTGAGGAGGACTACGATGATGCTCCGTCGGACTATCTTCACAATCAACCGAGTCAAAGTGATTGTGAGGGAGAAGTTAGAAGGAGTAGGATTTGGGGGGATAACGATAACGAGCCCATTACGATTGGTTCTAGTGATACTGAGGGTGGTCACTGGCATTAGAAGGCGTGGGTAGGAGTACAGAAGGGAGGAGAGGCGTTGAGGGAAGGTGGATCTAGTGTTCCTGTTGAATGATTTGTGAATTGAAATGACAATTCCCTTGGGCCTACCTTTCGAGAACTGTGGCGTGAGATCAACAAGACTTAGGACTTGTCAGAGGTGTGCGCTGCAAGACGAGACAAGTCTGTGATGCACCTCCTTTTGAGCAGAAGAAGGAGAGCGAGACACCTCGGAATGCCAACTGTTCAGATGTGTTTCTTCGCCACACTGAGCTCGAGTGTTGATGTTCAAATCCAGAGTGGTTGTGAGCATGAGACTTGGTGTCTATGCGTTCCTTTCTATAGTGCAACATCAGTCGGCTTGGCTTGGGGTGGACCGATGCTTTCCGCCCAGACATTCTCTTCTGCGAGACCTTTGTGGGAAAGGCCATCTTGCAAGAGCAGCAAGAGATGGTCTCTTGTACAGGCTACATGCTCGACGCTCATTGTAGCGTTGGGCTTTTCTGATGTTTTCTTTCCTTTCTCCTTGCTTTCTTTCTGCATTTGAGCTCCAACAGTGCGGTTTTTGTCGAGATACTTCTCCCTTGGAGTGCTAGGCACAGTGAATGGCACTTTAGTTGGAGTAGCGATGGGTAAGGAGCAAATAGAACGTGGAGGGATGCCCCATATCCAAACGGCCACTTGAGCCTCAGCATCTCTTGTTATCGCAACCAAGTATTCCAAACCTGAATACAGATCCTCAACCACGATATTCTCGGGGAAACCTTCTACCAATCTCAACTTGCCCCACTCTTCCTTCTCTTTCGGCGGTCGATGCTCAGAGCGAGTCGAAGGAAGGAAGCCGCAGACCCAAACGCGACCATTGTTGTCTAATATGGCAGCGTAACTACCGCCAGCTACAAGCTTCTTAATCCTTGCACCTGAATCTGAAGAAAGGTCGTATTCAGAGTATGCTGCCGGTAAGGGGTTGGCAAGGTGCATTGGGATGGGTAGCCGATCGTGTACGCCAGCAAAACTTTGTCCATATTCGCTATTGCCCCATACCCATAGCTCGCCACTTCGGGTGAGAGCATAGGATGTGTCTGCATGTGCAACGACTGCTGTTATCTGCCCTGCGTCTGTGTTGATGGCGGTGGGGATGGGTTCTAGTGGCAGTGGGACCGGGGTGAAATGTCGAGTGATGAGAGGATGGATAGGTAGGGAAGAGGATTTGGAAGGAGGGGTTGAACCTAGTTGTCCGTCTGTGTTGAGGCCGGTGGTGAGGAGGGATTGGATGCGGAAGCCGTTGAGTTCTCGTTCGAGCAGGAGAAGGGAGTGGTCTATACCTGCAGCCAAATCAATGACTCTCCATGGACTTGATCCTTGTCGTCCCTCATGGAATGCGGTATGCTCGGAGCTGTCCATGGATATCCGCTTGGGCAGGGGTAGAAGCCGCAACTGGGCCACATGAGATCCTGGTAGGCGCGTGGATATATCATAAGGATCATCACTACCTGAAATGGTAGCTTGGGGAGCGCAAGAGCCAAGTTGACCAAGGGTGTCATTGCCAAAGCCATAGACCATCGATCCTGTATCTGCAGAGGTGACAACAAAACTAAAGCCGCTCCCAGCAACGACCTTTTGCACGCCACCACTACCTTGCAAGCTTCCGGTAAGCATGCCTCTCGTTGCTTCCTGAGAAGCAAAGCCCAGCCCTAACTGCGCATGGGTGTTTCGACCTATACCAAAAACTTTACTCAGCCCTACCTTTTCTTTTCTTTCTCGGTCTTGTTCGAGTACAACCGCCTCCGCCTCTCCTTGCTCTTCGAAAGCAGGGGTAAAAGGGGTAGAATGGGAGGAGGAAAGCTCTTCCGATGCCTGTCTAGGTCTCTTGGAACGATCAAGCGGATTTGCGACAAGCGTGTAAGAGAGGAGTGTGTGCGAAGGGGAAGAGGAGACAGAAGTCCATTTAAGCCCGTGGTCAACGTCGGAACTTACACCGGCGCTATCTAACCAGGCGCGAGGCAAGAGTGAGAGTCGGTCGATGGATTGATAGCCGAGAATGTTGCCCAGATACAGAAGGTGCTGGTAAGCGGAGGGCGATGAAGTTTGTATGCTTCGCTGCTGCTGCTGTGGTGGTGGAAGGTGTATCCGTGCAGATGAACGAATGAGAGAGCGAAGCGGTGTGGTGGTCGCTGTTGGGGCTAGTATTAAGCGCATCTTTGACACCAGATCGACAGCTTCAGTTGAGGAGAAGGAAAGCTTGTGAGGGATGTCAGCAAGGTCGAGGCAAGGATGTTGGGGAGACGGTGTGGAACGAATAGGTCTCCACCTGCGCTACTTGCTGGCCCGAGATCCGAGCCGGTTCGAGATATGCTGATGCTTCCTTCTGGTGTCCTTCTGGTGTCCTAGAAGAGGCACTCTGAACTGTTTGGACTACTTGACAGAGCCAAGGATGGAGATAGAATTGAAGATAACAATTAATATACGGCGTTATCGGGGTCACAATCAGACTCCCTTTACCACAGTCGTATGTTCTATGTAATGCTTAGTTTTCATGGTGTGAGACTGAATGACAAACACATATATATACTCCATTCACTGCTCTGGTCCTATCCGAGGCAGGATGTGTCTCTTCATTTGTACTCCTGTGTTGCTATGATACCGGGTGCCACTGTGCTGTCACCATGACAACAATTACATACCTCATTGTACTTCTCGCTTATGTGAGCCTCCCGTGTCTCAATGTCTCGGCCGTAACATGTTCATCTTGCTTGAGATGCCGATGCATCTTCAACTCCCCCCTTCGGCGGGATCTCCAGTCCTATCATCCTAGCCAATCGTGAGGTGTTAAGACCCTGTAAGGGTTTTGTCAAGACATCTGCAATGTTGTTTGCCATTCCGACATATTTGATTTCCACATCGCCCTCTTGCACGTGATCGCAAACGAAATGATACCGTGTGTCGATGTGCTTTAACTTCCAATGTTTGGCTGGATCTTTACTCACCTGTATGCACCCCTGGCTATCTGTGTATAGTACGGGCCGAACGTCTGTGGTCTCCAAATCCCGGAGCAAATATGAGAAGAATAAGGTTTCTCGCACCACTTCGGAAGCGGCGACAAACTCTGCTTCGACTGCCGACAATGCCACACACTTCTGAACATGTGATTTCCAACTCACTGGACACCCATATACATATGTTATCGACCCCGAGGTGCTTCTTCGTCCATTTGTGGGGTCGGATGCCCAGTTTGCGTCGGTATACGTCGTTACCAGTGTATCCGAGTGCTCGTTTGTCTCCCCTCCTAGGTGCAACTGATATTCATTCGTTTGGTTCAGGTACTTTACCACATGGATGGCTGCCTTCCATGCACTGTCGATTGGGATCGACATATATCGCACCAATACGCCGACAGCAAAGGCAATATCTGGTCAGGCTGTGTTGGAGACCCATAATAGTTGGCTGACCAATTCTTGATACTTCTTTGCTCGCTGAGGTTCACATCGCTCGCCTCCAGCAACGTTCGCTACACTCAGCATGGGTACCCAAGATTTCTCGTTTGCTCCTCCTAACCATTTGTTCACCATTTCCTTGATGTATGCCGTTAGACCCAGAGATATCCTCCTCCATCTTCTATCATGTGTGATCTTGATACCCAGAAATTCTTTGACCCTTCCATTGTCTTGTGTCTCCCATTTGTCCATGATCTCTCGCTTTGCATGGTCTACTTCATCATGACTGGGTGATGTTATTAGCATGTCGTCCACGTATGCTGTGATGATCGTGATCTTGTCGCCTGTCCCTCTTGAGTATAGGCATGGTGCGCTCGGCATGCAATGGAATCCGATCGTCTGGAGATGTGAGTCTAACTCAATGTTCCATTCTCGGCCCGATTGTTTCAGACTGTACAGTCCTTTCACTACCTTCAACACTTTTCTGGGTGGTATTTCGATTCCTACTGGGGGCTTGAGGTATACATCATGGTGTATAGTGGAGTTCAGGTACGCTTGCTTTACATCAATAGAATCCATTTCCCAATTTCGTACTGCTGCGACAGCGATCACCCCTCAAATGGATTGGATGGGTGCTACTGGTGCGAAGACCTCTGTATAGTCGATGCCCTCGCGTTGAGTGAAACCTCGTGCCACGAGCCAGGCTTTGAACTTTGTCGGCACAAGGTTTGCATCGGTTTTGATCTTGAGTACCCAACGTGTGTCGACGGTATTTGCACCCTTTGGGAGGTCGACTATCTCCCATGTGCCCATCGCCTCCAATCCATCCAGCTCCTTTCGCATGGCCTCCTCCCAGTGCTTTCTGTCCTTTCCACTCATTGCTTCATGTATGGTTGGGTCCAGGTTCTTTCTCCGTTCCGGTCGCATCGCTATGAGTCCATAGAATTCGCTGTCAATCTGAGTTTCGGCGATTGGTCCTTGTTCCATCACCTCCACTGTTCCTTCGCTTAATCTTTCTTCTGAGTCTGTCTCCATATCCATGTATTCTCGTAGTGGCTCTTCATCTGTTTCGTCGAATATATTTTCTTTGTTGTATCCTAGATCTTCGAAATTCTCCTCTGTCATCATCATTGGGGGTGCCTTTGTGTCAACTGGTCACCACTCTGTTCTGTCTGACCAGCACTTTGATTCCATGAATTTTGCTGAGTTGCTCCAGAAGATGTTCGGATTGTAGTCCGGGCTGTAGAAGAGCCAGCCCTTCCTCTCTAGACTGTACCCTAAGAAAATGGATGCGACGGCTCGCTGGTCCAGTTTCTTGTTGTCCCGTTTAACTTTGGGTACGTTTACCCATGCCAGACAACCAAACACTCGTAGGAGCTTTAAAGCTCGTTCCGGCGACTTGCCAAACATCGCTTGATAAGGGAATTCATTATCAATGCTCGGAGTGAGGTTTATTTTGAATGCTGCAGCTCTGATTGCATATGGCCAGAACTTCTTTGGTAGTCTCCTCTGCATTAGCAACGTTCTCATCTTCTCTCCAAGGGTCCTGTTCATTCTTTCTACCCATCCATTTTGTTTGCTGTTGTACCCTACAGTGGTTTGCCACTCTATGCCCTTTTCTAACGACCATTCTAATGCATCATTGCTTTTCCATTCCGTTCCTTGATCGGATCGGATCGCTTTTAGCTTCCGATCCGTCTGTGTCTCCAGGAACGAAATAATCCTTTTAAGTTGCATAAAGGCATGACTCTTTCATGTCAATGGCTGTGCATACACATACTTGCTATGATCATCGACCAGCACCAACGTGCATGTGTACTCCATCACGTGGGATGAGTCTATTATTAGATCGACGTGGATAAGATCCAGGGGCCCTACGGCTCTTTCGCTGCTACCTTTCCCCATCTGAGCGCTTGTGCTCTTGGATCGTATGCACTGCTCACATGTCAGAGCAGTGTTTGGATCCAATTTCATGGTATGCTTATCCTTTAACTTGCTTGTGATCGCCTTAGCTTTATCTCTTCCTGGGTGCCCAAGATGCTCATGCCATAGTTGTTGCTTTGAAACTTTCGGCTCATTCTCAATATGCTCGAACTCCTCATCAACACCTTCAAACAATGGTGCTGATGTGGCCATCGTGCTTTCTTGCCATGTGTCGCCTCGGAACTCCAGAAGTCCTTGCTCGCAATTCTTTGCAATCTTAAGTGTCATGCTGTTTGTTAGAAAAATTTGGCCGCCGGTTGTGTCCAATATCACTCGTGCTCCTTCATCCATTAATGAATTTGTTGACAGAAGGTTAACATTAAGGTGCTTTACATACAATACATTTTGCAGAGAGATTTCCCCGTAATCTGTTGATATGCTTGCATCTCCTATAGCTGCCGCTTCCAAGACCTCACTTCCGGCAGTAATTATCCGCTTTCAGCAAGTTCTCGGGTGGATGAGCATGCTGTAGTCATTCACCATATGGTAACTCGCCCCCGAGTCCAAGATCCAATGAGCTGTTTCTTTTGTGTTCAAGGGGTCCTGCCATTTCATTGGGAGGGTGAGGGAGCACCACGCTTCCTATTTAGGTTCAGCGAGGGGGGAGTCCTTGGGAATGGTAACCAAGGCGTCGCATTGACTGATACCATGTCCCGGTCGCTTGCAGATCCAGCATCGGATTCGGCGTGATTTGCTTGCGTTCCTTGAGCTCGCGTGGCTGTTGTCGGCTTCGGCTTCGGTCTCTCCAGCCCGTTCGTTTTGATCGTCGTTGCCGGCGGTTCTAGCACTGGCTTGTCGAGGGTCGATCCTTTGTGCGGGGACGCTCTCGACAGCGGTCTGCCGGATGCTTAGTGCGGTGGCAAGGGCGTTGAAATCGATTTGATGGACGGTGGCAACCGTCTCCTTGTACACCGGATGCCAGATCGTGCATTTCTGCAGAGCCGAGAACAATGTATCATCGGTGAATGGTTTGCCGAGGAGGCTGCTTTCAGTTTGTATGGACCGGATCTCTTGAATTAGCTTTCTGGCATCCGAGTTAAACATCTTTGTATCGTTGAGTTGCGAGATAAGCGCAAGTCTGTGAGACATCTTGGTGGCTTCATTCGTGAGACCGTTTTCGATCTTTCTCCATACTTGGTTGAAAGTAAGGTACTCCTTGATTACATCTAGAACGAGGTAATTTACATTGTGTTCTCCGGTAGTGTCGATTGTTCCACGCAGGGCGTTGATTAAAGCATCGTCGAGGGAGCGGCTCCATTTCGGGTGTTTCTTGTTGTACGTTCCCTCGAGATGTTTCATCGCATGAGGCACAGATCGGAGGAAAGATTTCACATGAGCGCTCCAGCTATGATAGTTTCGTGATGTGAGCTTTGGCACGGGTTCGAGGAGCTTTGCTAGGGTGCGAAAGTTATATCGCTTGTTGCCATCATCAAAGTCAGAGTCGGAATCGGTGTCTTCGTCGGCTTCATCGTTGATGGCCTCCGGCTCGTTCTCACTCGTGGCATTATTGTCGACCCGAACCTGGGTGTTCTTGCCTTTTCTGCTTCCTTTGGTCCTCGTTTCGGTGTCTTCTACCATGGTTGTCGGCGAGTTTCGGTTAGCTCGGTGATAGCTTCTTCAGACTCTTAATCAATTGAAGATAACAATTAATATACGGCGTTATCGGGGTCACAATCAGACTCCCTTTACCACAGTCGTATGTTCTATGTAATGCTTAGTTTTCATGGTGTGAGACTGAATGACAAACACATATATATACTCCATTCACTGCTCTGGTCCTATCCGAGGCAGGATGTGTCTCTTCATTTGTACTCCTGTGTTGCTATGATACCGGGTGCCACTGTGCTGTCACCATGACAACAATTACATACCTCATTGTACTTCTCGCTTACGTGAGCCTCCCGTGTCTCAATGTCTCGGCCGTAACATGTTCATCTTGCTTGAGATGCCGACGCATCTTCAACTGATAGACTGCAACAGAATATCGACACAGACAATCTGGAAGGATTTGCGAAAGAAACAGTTGTTTTGCGTGTTATGATTGCGATCTCAATGGGGCGACTGTTTGCAAGCGATGATGGAAAGGACAACTAAACGTTTGAGCAACAATGACAATGTATCATCATCAGCGCCCTTTTTGGTATTGTTGAAATGATGAGATGAGAAGGAAAAAAGCAAGAGTCCACGCTTTAGGCAGTGGAAGCAGCAGCAGCCTGGGTATCCTCGTCAGGGTTAACGGTGGAGGTCTGCTTCTGACGACGTTCCTTTTCGGTCTCCAGCTGGTTGTAGAGCAAGAACAAAGCCTTCTCGTTGGCCTCGGGAGTTCCCTGAATAGTGAACATCCTTTCTCCGGTCTCGTCATGAGGTACCTTGGCGATGCTGATCCTGCTTCCGCTCAAACGACGGATCTCGGTGATCTTGCTACCACCTTTACCGATAATGCAACCGACCATGTCCGAAGGAATGCTGATGTTCTGGGTGCGCAGGTTGGCAGCGTCGACAAGAGGAGGAGCCGAGGCATTAGGTTCACCAGCAGTGGCAGAGTTGGCGGTTGCACCTGCAACCAATCCACCACCGGGGGTGACGACTGCGTTGGGGTCGAGGCGACGAGAAGTATTATTGTTGTTATTGTTGTTGTTGTTATTGTTGTTGTTGTTGTTGTTGTTGGCGGCGGCGGCACCGTTGGAGTTGGATTCACGTCGGTTGTTGGTGGAAGAGGGCTGGTTGGAGTTGGAGTTGTTGCCAAGGTTGAGGCTGTTGATGGCACCAGCGAGATAAGCGGGACCACCTTGACGACGAGAACCTTGCTGCTGCAATCCACCCATTCCACCAGCAGCCAAGATACCAGGACCATGGCCCTGACCGGGCTGGTAAAGCACAACGTTCTGGCTACGATCGCAGTCCTCGGCCAAACATCTTGCGATCTGGTGAACAGCAACACGGATAGCGTCGACACTACCCTGAACCTCAACAACCCTCTCGGTGGACTGAGGGAGCATTTCCTTGCTCGCGACCATGCGGGCGCCGGAAAGATCCTGAATGTGCTTGATCTTCAAACCCTGACGACCGATGACAGTGCCCATGAGGTTGTGGGAGATGAGAAGACGAACGGAGCTGGTCTGAGCAGCAGCCTGGGCAGGAGTACCATCAGCTTGAACGGGAGCGTTGAGAGGGTTCTCAAGGATGGTCTTGGCGATGAGAGCGAAAGCGTCAGAGATACCGACCAGGGTACCGGTGACAGAGAGAACACGGTCGTGAACACCAGGGACGACCTTGGAGACACCAGCCTTGACACCGGTCTGTTCACGGAGCTCGGCGACGTTAGCACCACCTTTGCCGATGATGATACCAGCTTCCTTGGTGGAAACGAGGGCACGGACGAGGAGGGTAGCGTCGGGATCGAGCTCAGCGGCGGAAAGGTTGTTGTTGGCATCGTCGCCAGCGGCGGGGGAAGAAGCAGCGGGAGCGGGAGAGGTGGCCTCGGGCTTGTTCTCTGGCAAGAGCAAGTACAGGAAGCAAGAGTCAAAGTCGTCAGCAGCAGTTCTCTGCTTCAGTGAAACGAAAGTGAGACTTACCAGCAATGGGAGCGGCCATTTTGACCAAGGATGAAAAGAAAAAGAACAAAAAAGAACAAAAAAAAGGGTCGGGTGCGGGTTGCGAAGAAGGTGAGAAGGATGCCAGGTAGTAGGAGAAGATGAACTATGAAAGGAAGGAGATCGGAGGGAGATCGGAAGGAGATCGGAAGGAGAGGGCGATAGGTGTCGGATGTCGAGACGGAAGAGGAAGACGGAAGATGATGGGTGTGGGAATGATGGGAGTGGGGGATGATGGATGTGTGGATGATGGTTGTGTGGATGACGAGAAGGATCAAGTGAGTCGCACTTTCCAAGCAAAAGAAGAAAAGGAAAAAAAAAATCCAACACTCGAAAAGCTTCAACACGGCCGAGAAAAGCCAAAAAACAAAACAAAAAACAAAAAACAAACACTACAAACGATCGATCGATCGGGCATTTCAACCCTTCCAAAATGTGGAGATCGGTGATGAGGTCTTGTCGTGCGAATTCGTTAGAAATCAGGAAGGAGCCATTCTTAGTCTTATCTCTGCCTTCCACCATCTACCATCATCAACACCATCATCAACACCATCATCAACACCATCATCAACACCACCACCACTATTTCCATCTTCGGACCATGTCGGCACAATCCGTTCAAGCAGCCAACTCGTTATCGGATCCTGGGCAACAAGGCACTCTCGCCTACGCCTATCGTCGCTCGATCATCGCCCTGCACAGCGTCTTTGGCGGCAACTCGGATGCTCAATATGCTGAACGCGAACCTCTGCTAAACCAGAACAACGCTAGCAACGACCCAAACGCACCTTCCGGTTGCAACACCTACGGAGCCGTCGCTTCTTCCTCTTCTCGTTCCGACTCTTGCCGACCTCGGATTCGCAAACCCAACAAGCTCGTCTCGCAGAGCAAGGTGGAGGCCAAAGTCTGGTTCGCCAACGAACGCACTTGGATCTCTTGGCTTCGTCTCTCCGTCCTCATTGGTTCATTCGCTCTAGCGCTGTTCAACTCGGATACCTTTTTCAAGGATGACAATGGTCAACATGCTGGTGGAGGACAGAAGAACGGCTATCTCTCCTCGGGATCCATCAAAGCGTTTGGTGCTGTCTACGCTGGTATTGCAGTCTTGACGCTGCTCTGGGGTCTGTACAACTATCAGAGGAGGCTGACGTTGATCAAGACAAAGCATCCCGGTAACTTTGACGACCTGATCGGTCCACCACTCGTTTGCGCTGCTTTGTTCCTTGCCGTGCTGCTCAACTTTATCATCCGTGTTAAGCAGCACGATTACGAGAGTCATGCATAGTCGACCATGCTTCCTTGCTATACCGACGCAATCCTTGCCCTCATCGCCTGTCCCTCCTCATCCGGACCAAGGCAGAGTCGATGGCTGCCTACTCGTTGAGGCCAGTTGCATTCTAATACCAACCAACATATTCGCATCACATTCCATCCAGCTTGTACTCGCCACTGTCCCACCTGAGCAGTGTCTGTCTCTGTCTCTGTCTCTGTCTCTGTCTCTGTCTCTCCCTTGTCGAACTGGTTGGCTCTCTTGCCACTTCATCTCGGCGGATGGCTCACTGCAAACCTTATTTGGCGTCCCACCAGGAGAGAGGCTGTTTTGAGCTGAGCTTCTGTCTCTGCTTTGCGAGGCTTGTGCGTTGGCATCCCATGGTCCCGCCCACATTGCGATTTGGAGCTTTTGTGTCAGCTGTGCTTGCTCATCTCGAGTCAAGGATAGCCTATGGGATTGCAGTGTGCTCTTGCGAATTCTACAAGGTGCCTCGTTTCAGGGTCCACGGCTGTCATCTTGACAAGATCCTTGTTCCTTTGCGATCCTATCCTTACCCCCGTCATCACCCTTTGTACACCCTGCGCACCTCCCATCCATGGTGCACCGCATCATCCAAGCTGCTTTCCCACCTCTGCGCTACCTCTGCCCACCATGTCCTATCATCCTTCGCACCACCCAAACTTCCTCAACCCAGGCTTGTCCCAGATGAGCTATGCTCACAATCACAGCGCAAACGCTTCCCCAGGTGCCAACCCTTCGCTCTTGAACAGCAGCATCTCTTCCCACTCATTCCCCATCGCTCCAACTCCCAACAACAGCACACCGCAGCCTCAGCAGCAACAATCACAACCACAGCAACAATCACAACAACAAACACAACAACAACAACAACAGCAACAACAACAACAGCAACAGCAACAACAACAACAACAACAACAACAACAACAACAACAACAACAACAACAACAGCATCATCAGCATCATCATCATCATCATCATCAGCAGCCAACAGCCACTGCGCCTCCCGGTGTTCCGGATGCTGATGGCTTGATAGCTCCTCCATCCATGCCCCTCGAGCTTGACTTTGACAATCTCGAAAGCGCCTCCAACTACATGCACACCTATGCCCTCTCGCAAGGTTTTGACATTCGCATCCAATGGTCTGCTAACAACCAAACACGTATCTGCTGGTCCTGCTATCGCGGCGGCTTCCCAGAAACGCTCAACTCAGATGGCACTCCTAACACCAAGAAACGTCGAATCCCAAAGGAGAAGGAAAGACGCAAGCGTGGTTCGCTCAAGATCGGATGCCCTTTCCGTGTTCAATGCACAAAGAACTGGAAGACGGGCAAGATGGAGTTAAGGATTTTGGAGGGGAGACACAAGCATCAGATGGAAACCGATAGGGAGAATCTGCCAAGCCAGGTGAGGAGGATAAAGAATCAGCGCAAGGCACACGAGTCGCCGTGTACACCGCAGGGTGGCAATGCTGCTGCCAATGCAGTTGCTCAGGCGGCCAATCTGACTGCGACGCCGACGCCTCTGTCCATCGCAAGTGGCAGTGCGAGTGGCAGTGCGAGTGGCAGTGGGAGCGGAGGTAATAAGAGCAGGGTAAGCAATGCTAATGGTGGTCATGGTTCACCGAGCCGGAATGGTGCTGCAGGACAGCAAGCAGGGCATGGTCGTGAGCAACAGCAGACACCAGCACAGCAGCAGCAAGAGACGAGGAAACCATCGGCCAACAACAACAACCTCCTTGTCAATGCAGCTCGTCCGTCTGCGCACCAGCATCTCGGTCTTCCCGCTATGAGCACACCTACACCAGCCAATGGTCCACCAAGCCTTGATCTTGACTCGGATCTTGTCCTCGCATCCTCTGCTCCCACCTCTAACGGCGCTGTCGCAACTTCACCAGGCCCCAAACCATCCTTCGAGCGACAGATGCTCAATCTTTTGGGTCTTTACGACAAGTCTGACGCCTCTTCGCGCGCGATCATGGACAAAGAGCTCGAGACCATGTTAGCACGCGCCGAGTCCCGTCTGGACAAGTCAGCAAGGAAGAAGAGAAAGGTCGGAGCAAATGGAACATTGCTTCATCCTATCTCGCCCATGCTTGCAGATACATCGGCGAGCACTCAGGGAGGCATTGCCGCCTTGGCGAGAGGGTTGAATGGCAGAAACGCACCGACTACAACGCAGGTCAATGCAGTTGGGTCGCCGCTGAGAGCTACAGCAGGCCTAGTCGGGACTCTGCCTCCGCAGACACCATTGGGGCAGGTGATAGGGCAGGAGCAACAACAGCTACCACCAAGTTCAGGAAAAGGTTCGGCTAGGTGTAGCAATTGCAAGGAGTATGGACATAATCGAAGGCGGTGTCCGCTTGGTTGAGCCAGCGACACTATACACAATCTAACTTGCAATCCAATACACATGTCCACAAGAGCTTCGGGTCTTGTGCAGCAAGCTGAGTGTCTTCAACAACAGCTTATGAGTGTCTTCAACAACAGCTTATGAGTGTCTTCAACAGCTTATTTTCTCTTGATATATATACAAAGTGGGTGGCACCTCCCATCCTACTTGATGACGAGGTCTGACAATGATCGGGACTAGATTGTACCCGATCTATGATCTCCGATCAGATCGTCCATCGTCCGATCCCTTTTGTATCTGCTTACGTCAACCAACATCATCATATTGGATCGTCATTTTCAATACTTAAAAGTGTCTGTCGGAGAGGGTTGAGCGAAGGATGTTAGGGTGCGGAATCTAACACCTTACCCTACTATCTCAGTTGCACAGACACAGTTGAAGAGGCACCAGCATCGCTAATGCATGATATAGTAAATGGGAGCTCACAGGATTGGGGAATCAGGAGGGCATTGGGCAATGAGGAGGACAGGCAAGATGAGAGGCTGGTGGGAGCTAACACAGCCTATGCATGAGGATTGACACCATGGTATGGAGGGGACATGTTGATATGACAACACTTATGAAAGAAGATACATGGCACATGGGCATGACTCAACAAAGTGAGCACAGTCAGGTGCAGAGAATACATATATATGTTCTTAGCTTAGTCGCTACCTCCTTACACAATTTTAAGTCTTCTCAATTAGACACACCTGACTGTAAAAAGAGCACCTGACTGTGGCCTCTAGAGTGGTGTATCTAATTTCAACTGGCTCCCAACATGGGGCTCGAACCCATGACATTCAGATATGGCAGGAGACAATGACTGCCAAGCCAGCTTGGGTGAAGCAGCCAGGAGGACAAGAAAAGGTAAAATGCCACAATGAGTACAAATCAACGAAGAGGCCACCAACAGTAATGAGACCAAGTATTTTGACAATGAGGATGAAGGAGGATCAGAATCAGACGATGATGACAACCAATATGATTACCGCACCTTGGCCAAAATCTTGGAGATGGTTCCCAAGCTCACATCATGCAACTATTATAGTTGGAGCACACTCATCAAGGCCAACCTACAAGTAGTTCCCCATGCCACATGACATCTAAAGGGCACGTATGACAAAGACCACCTGAAATGGAATAAAACCTTTGATAATGCCCTAGTGGGTGTCCTACAAAGTGTCAGGGGTCTCGCGCCTGAAACCCAGGTCGGTCTGTCGAGATACTCGGTGACTATCAAACTGTGCAGTGACAGCTGGTGGCGTTCGTGGTATATACTATCGTAGGTTTCGGCTGACCTCTGTGGACACTCCGTTCAGGGGTAGCTCGGCACGATCAATATCAATGTTATGATGACACCAAGGTCTGGTGTGAGTGTTGATGATGATGAGGTTGATGGTGTTGGTGATGAGATTGGTGATGTTGATGATAATGAGGTTGATGGTGTTGGTGATAAGGTTGGTGGCATCAACACAAGTGTCCAGTGTGTTGACTTGATGCTTGAAGTGATCCCCGGACCACAGTGGACTACTGCCTTCGGTTCTATCTATATCTGGACTGCTAACCTGCTATGGGCGCCTTCGGACGTCAGGTAGTGGTGATACAACACACACACTACGATGAGGAGCAACCTTGATAGATTGCTCCCCAGACCGCAGTGGACTACTGCCTTCGGTTCTATCTATATCCGGACTGCTAACCTGCTATGGGCGCCTTCGGATGTCAGGTAGTGGTGATACAACACACACACTACGATGAGGAGCAACCTTGATAGATTGCTCCCCGGACCGCAGTGGACTACTGCCTTCGGTTCTATCTATATCCGGACCGCTAACCTGCTATGGGCGCCTTCGGACGTCAGGTAGTGGTGATACAACACACACACTACGATGAGGAGCAACCTTGATAGATTGCTGCTATGCTGACTGTAACTAATGAGTACTTGTGTTTCTAAAGTATTGACTAGTTGTATGGTGAGTAGAGTGGATGAGGATCCACTCGACCTATGATGATGAGAAGGCATGGTTATATACCTCTACTCAGCATCGCCAGCGATGCTGCTCCTGCTCTCTCTCCAGAGAGTACCTTCTTCATCGAGTACTGCTCAGGGGCCTCTCCTGCTTGGCACCCCTGTGCCTCTTGAGTTGTGTCGACTCCTTCGACACTGCTCCTCCTCCTCATGACCTGGTGTCAACTCCTTCGACACTGCTCCTCCTCCTCATGACCTGGTGTCGACTCCTTTGACACTGCTCCTTCTCCTTTGATCAGTGACAGTTCCTTTGGCTCTTGTCTCTCGAGCCCCTGAGTGGTAACCATCTGCATACTCCTTGAGCTTGGTCCTCTTCGTGGCTGTGCCTGCTCCTTGAGCTTGGTCCTCCTCGTGGCTGTGCTTGGCCCTCCTTTGCATATGAGTCCATAGGAGTCCATGGTCTCCATGGAGACTGCACTACGACCCTGCTCTCTACTGATCTCGACTAGATCTTCGATACCTGTGCTCCTTCCATATGAACCCATGACCCTCCTGCTTCTTGAGCATCCAGGCCCATGACAAAGATCTGGTGTGAGTGTTGATGATGATGAGGTTGATGATGTTGGTGATAAGGTTGGTGAGTGTTGATGATAATGAGGTTGAAGGTGTTGGTGATAAGGTTGGTGGTGTCAACACGAGTGTCCAGTGTGTTGACTTTGATGCTTGAAGTGATCCCCGGACCGCAGTGGACTACTGCCTTCGGTTCTATCTATATCTGGACCGCTAACCTGCTATGGGCGCCTTCGGACATCAGGTAGTGGTGATACAACACACACACTACAATGAGGAGCAACCTTGATAGATTGCTGCTATGCTGACTGAAACTAATATATACTTATGCTGAAGTGATAACTAGTTATGGTGAGTAGAGTGGATGAGGATCCATTTGACCTATGATGATGAGAAAGCATGGTTATATACCTCTTCACAGCATCACCAGTGATGCTGCTCCTGCTCTCTCTCCAGAGAGTACCTTCTTCATCGAGTACTGCTCAGGGGCCTCTCCTGCTTGGCACCCCTGTGCCTCTTGAGTGGTGTCGACTCCTTCGACACTGCTCCTCCTCCTCATGACCTGGTGTCGACTCCTTCGACACTGCTCCTCCTCCTCATGACCTGGTGTCGACTCCCTCAACACTGCTCCTCTTCCTCAGGACCTGCTTGCCAGTGTCCTATGACTCTTGTCTCTCGAGCCCCTGAGTGGTAACCATCTGAGCTTGGTCCTCTTTGTGGCTGTGCCTGCTCCTTGAGCTTGGTCCTCTTTGTGGCTGTGCCTGCTCCTTGAGCTTGGTCCTCCTTGTGGCTGTGCCTGGCCCTCCTCGCATGTGGCTCGGTTCTCCTTTGCATGTGAGTCCATAGGAGTCCATGGTCTCCATAGAGACTGCACTACGACCATGCTCTCTACTGGTATCGACTAGGTCTTCGATACCTGTGCTCCTTCCATATGAACCAGTGACCCTCCTGCTTCTTGAGCATCCAGGCCCATGACACAAAGCACCCTAGACACTGAAGGAGAGTATAACGTCCTTTACCTCCTACTCGACATCAGTAAGAATCATCTGACCTGCCATCAAGCTTGGAAGAAAATCGAAAGGAGTCTTACCAGTGAAGCAACTAGAACCTCGCAACAGATAGCATTACTCACCGAGCTCAATGAGGCAAAGATGTTTCATGCTGATGCCCATAAGCTGATCCAAGAGATCAGGGTTATGCAGACCAAAACTAGCCTCCTAGGTGCCCCATTTAGTAATGATGCACTATATGCCATGCTCCAGAGGTGCACGATTTGACACCCAGTCTACAAGGAGACAGTTGCCACAGTTCATCAGGTTAGCTTTGATGCTCTAGCAACAGCTTTGACTACACACCAGTCTGCAATGGAAAGTGTACCTGGTCAGAAAGTGGACCCATGCCAAGCATGCACTAGAATTGCTGGGGGCAATGAAGAGCAGGCTGATGATACTGAGTCAGACATGGGCAGCATGAAAACCACAATCAAACCAAAGGTGATTCATTGCTGGGTATGCAAGTGCTATGGGCATGGTGCCAGCAAATGCAATGCTTCCATTGTCATTCCCAAAAATTCTCCACTCACCAAGACCAACTAGGAGGTCTGGTGCTCTTTCACCCCAAGTTGGCAGCAGCTCCCAAAGTCAGAAGGAACCACACATTGGATCTTGGATTTGGGAGCAAGCTACCACATGGTTAATGACCACAGCATGCTCATCCATCCAAGAAATTGCAGAAAGCGAGTGTATACCACTGGAAGCGAAGTGCTGGAGGCAACTGCTGTGGGAGATACCAACATAGCAACAGAATATGGAGATGTTTATCTCCAAAATGTGTTGTATGTTAAAAGACTCAATATTAACCTGTTGTCAACCAACTCACTGATGGATGAGGGAGCACATGTGACTTTAGACATGACAGGTGGACAAATACACTTGGCAAATGGTATGCTATTGAGAATAACGAAAGATCGTGAGCATGGACTATTAAAGTTCTGAGGTGACACATGGTGACAAAGTGCGATGACTACATCAACACTGCTGTTTGAAGGAGTTGATGAAGAGTTCAAGCTGGCCGACCGGAGACCAAAGATCTCCACAAGACAGCTCTGGCATGAACATCTAGGACACCCAGGTTGAGACAAGTCCAGAGCAATTGCTGATAAATTGAAAGGCAAACCTGTAGCAGCATTGGACCCAGATACAGCTCTGACATGTGAGCAGTGCATGTGGTCCAAAAGTACGGCCACCCAGATGGGGTGAGGTAGCAGCAAAACAGCCATGGGGCCCCTAGATCTTATTCACATCGATCTGATCATAGACTCATCCCACGTGACAGAATACACATGCACATTAGTGCTGGTTGACAATCATAGCAAGTATGTGCATGCACAACCACTCTTACAAAAGAGCCACACATTCATGCAACTCAAAAGAATAGT